CGTCGGAATTACATGACTTTATAGATTACCGATAAAATGATGGACCATATATCGTCCGAAACATAGAAATTATAGGGAAACGGTGGGCCGACGCGAGTCGTCGACAATATCGTCGGATCGATGGTATTGGATCGCGACGAATTACGCTCGCAGTCGCCGGAGGATTAAAATTTCGAGACGCGTTGTTCGCTGAATTTTCGGACGAACACAGTTCAATTGATATTCGCATAAATCGAGCGAACCGAGGTACGTTGACGGAATAAGTAGCACGAATAAAATTACTCGAAAGCGCGTATCGTCGCAGAGACTTTTCACTTCGAATTTCGTGCCGCGCCGCGAGGCGGTCTAAGCATCTAGTTAGTGCGCCAATTTGTAACCAAAGAAATTCTACAAATATTAAGTTTCAGGTAATTCGCTCAATAATCCGTGCACTCGCGGAAATATCCACGGGAACGTGATCTTCTGAATGGTGTACGAAAAAAATGGGTGCTTCCTCTTTAATTAGATGCCAGACCGTTGCGTGCTCGTCAATTTCGTGTCTGCATCAAGTCCCCTTCAGATTCCGTTACTCGTTATATAATAAGCTCATTACGCGGCTCGCATAGAATCTAATACAACGTCGAATAATTTTCGATCGTTATACGAGTCTTAAGTTATTCGCATTCTAGATTCGTAGCTCAATGGGAGGCGACCAATTACGACAGGATTTATTGCGGAATCGTAAAGATCGAATCTAGCATGGTAAATTAATCTACTGAAATCGGCGAGCACCATCTGAAATAGCTATCAATAAACATGACTCTAACACACCTCGAAGCTCTACTAAAGCATTTTGCTCCTCTATTCTGAGATAATTTTCGGAACTGCAATAATTTGAAGAAAGTTTCAATTTATGCTGTTTGAGATCAACCTTCCGACGTTCGCTTTAACTATTTTGCTAATTATTGTTACGATAAATTCTGCTCACTCGAAAAAAATCATTGAAAATTTTTCATTAGGTATTTCGTGTCTTATAAAATATTTAAAACAATTATCAAATCGAGAAGATATTTATTCTGCGTGCTAAGATAAATTTCACTTACCGGAGAAAATTCTTTTGCAATGAAAATTTTTCATTAGGTATTTCGTGTCTTATAAAATATTTAAAACAATTATCAAATCGAGAAGATATTTATTCTGCGTGCTAAGATAAATTTCACTTACCGGAGAAAATTCTTTTGCAATGAAAATTTTTCATTTGGTATTTCGAGTCTTACAAAATATTTAAAACAATTATCAAATCGAGAAGATATTTATTCTACGTGCTAAGATAAATTTCACTTACTCGAGAAAATTCAATTGCATTGAAAATTGTTCATTTGGTATTTCGTGTCTTATAAAATATTTAAAACAATTATCAAATCGAGAAGATATTTATCTGCGTGCCAAGATAAATTTCACTTACTCGAGAAAATTCATTCGCATTGAAAATTTTTCATTTGGTATTTCGTGTCTTATAAAATATTTAAAACAATTATCAAATCGAGAAGATATTTATCTGCGTGCCAAGATAAATTTCACTTACTCGAGAAAATTCATTCGCATTGAAAATTTTTCATTTGGTATTTCGAGTCTCACAAAATATTTGTAACAATTATCAAATCGAAAAGATATATTTATCTGCGTGCTAATATAAATTTTACTTACTGGAGAAAATTCTTTTGCATTGAAAATTTTTCATTTGGTATTTCGAGACTTACAAAATATTTATAATAATTATCAAATCAAAAAGATATTATTCTACGTGCTAAGATAAATTTCACTTACTGGAGAAAATTTATTCGCATTGAAAATTTTTCATTTGGTATTTCGAGACTTACAAAATATTTATAATAATTAACAAATCAAAAGAATATTATTCTACGTGCTAAGATAAATTTCACTTACTCGAGAAAATTCATTCGCATTGAAAATTTTGCATTTGGTATTTCGAGTCTCACAAAATATTTGTAACAATCACCAAATCGAGAAGACATTTATTCAGCGTGCCAAGATAAATGTCACTTACTCGAGAAAATTCATTCGCATCGAAAATTTTTCCACTTGCTACGCCGAGTCGTATGAACTATGTACAATGCTTCGCAAGCGTGAAATAAAAATTATGCGAAATTAGATACCGAGCTCTTACTGCTTTACGGCCGGGACTTCGCGGTAGTTTTTGCGAAACGATCGGACACAATAGAATCCGATCAACGGAGGTAAACGAAAAAGTCGGACCGACCGAGGCCGCCGACCTGTTTCGTCGTTGCATCAAAAAGTAATTAACGCGCAACGTCCAGGCGAAACATTTTAAAATATGAAGCCGTTTCACGGTTGCTTTCATGCGGACGCCGGGGCGTCGTATTTCTCTTGAAAATCAGAAGTTCTGCCGCGCGTGTCGACTGCATCCTACGGATCAGAAAAGGTCGAACTTTATTAATTAAACTCTGTATGTTCTCTCTACTCGGCAGAGTTCTAATTGTCTGCGAATTGGCGTCGTTAGCTACCCTCGAAATCCGAAGGATACGCAAAAGTGATTCCGATACAGAAATCGTAAATCACGGGGCACAAAGTACGAAGCCAGTTGTCGCGAGCGAGTTAATCGCTTTAGTGAAAAGATTTCCCCTCCGTACAGTCGCTATTTATTCGCGCGCTTCCGTTTAGCTTCAAGTAATCTTCTGTTCAATGCGACACTAATTGTCGCAAACCGATTATCTTTAATAGCCTCGGCTTCCGCGGGAAATCGTGCAAACTGTTAGCCAAGAAATATAGAATATAGTGTAGAGAGTAAATGTTTCAATTATAGTAGATTCTTCCTAATTGACCCTCAGCTTGGAAACAAAGATGGACGATTGTTCGAGCCTTGCGGCTCGTTTTTATAGTTACCGATCGTCAGGAACCATAAAAATGAGCCTCGAGGCTCGAATAATCGTACTTCCCCTTCCCAAATTGTCTATTTTTGTTTCCAAGCTGAGGATTAATTAGGGAGAATTTATTTTACTGTCGCCTTAAGCTTGCCGCGTAACTTCAGTTAATTATTTCAGAAGTTTTCTAACCTAAAAATCATTCCAATTTGCAGCATGCTTGGGATCTTTTCGACTGAAAAACATTTTTTATGTAATAAATGTTATGCGTTCATTGCTGATTGATGGAAAATTTATAAGCAAGTCCCTATAACTGTCTTTTAAAAAATCGTCGTATCGCAAATCCTTAATGATCGAAATTGAAAGAACGATTACAGTGAAAAATTCGAATTTCATTGCAATTTTCAAAGCGCGATATTTAACGATACGCATGATCAGCAAGGTTTTTCAACTTTCGAGACGCTGAATGCGAACTAGTGTTACAGCGTGCCACGTGGGACATGCAAGTATGCAATTTGGAACACTTGTACATGCTCCTAATTTCGAACAACCCCGCCCGCAAGTACTAAACCCCATTACCGATTCGATGTGTTCGAATTCGGTATATACGGGAGTTTACCATACGCTACGGTGACATCAACCCTAATTAGAATTTCGAGTTCTCTTGACTATGAATAAATAAATTATGAGCGCAAGGTGTGCAGCCAGCCGCGCCGCACGCGCGAAGTATTAATTTATTCCCGTGGAAGTTCGGATAGTAATTGATTCGATCCATTATCGTCTAAATATATTAACGTCCGGAACTTTCTTCATCAGTTTAATATTTGATTAGCGACATCAACAGGAAGCTCGAATTAAACACGCCGCTTTTAGCGGATTGTAACACTTAATTGTAACGCTTAACCGGTTGGAAGTCTATTAATGGGCGGTCTGAGGCTCGGTCTTAATCGAAATGACGCCTATTAATATTCCTTCACCGAAGAATTCGTCGAGAGATTCTTCTAAATTAGGCGATTACCACTGATTGGAAATTATCTTGCATTTGAGGATGGAGGAGAATGAAGCGACGAGTATGCTATGGTTTATTAACGCCAGATTTACGAAACGCATGAGAAAATGATGTGACCAAATTGTTTAATTTACAATCATTGACATTGTAAAAACAGATTGTAGGAAATTTATTTAATGAATTTGTTTCATTCGACGTACATTATGATAAAAATCGCTAGAACTCTGACTAAATTAATGCTTGTTGTTTTTATGGAACAATATGAATATTAAGTAATGTAAATCTAGTTTTAACTACGAAACACTTATTTAGTAAGATCCGTTAAAAAATATTACTTGAAAAGATATTTCAAGCGTCGTACCAATTAATATATTACACTTAGCCTTGGATTGGTATTTTATTAACCATTTATTTACGTAATTCTAAATCAACAATGCAATTTTTCGATGACAAAATTTAAACGGGAAACGATGCTACGAAGAGTAAATATTACTAATATAAATAAATAAATATTATTATTTAATATTATTATAATTAATATTATTATATTAATATTAATATAATAATATATATTAATATTATTATTATAAATATTATATTATGAATAAATATTACTACAATGCCATTTATTTAATTACACGAAACACAATGTTTTAAGAAACGTAGAAACGTAGAACACCGTATTTCAATCGTAACGATTTCATCAGCTTCCCGTTTGCTTTCCTTTAAAATGTTGCGAAACAAATGTGAGTTTATTCTGCGGGTTCCCGATGCAAAGGGGATCAAAGCGAAACATTTCTGCACGGTAATTCCCGTAATAAGAATGAGATCAAAGCGCGGTGTCTTCGCTCGACAAAACGATCCGTGGTAAAAAATGGTATTAAAGCAAAATATCTTCGCGCAATAATTTCCCTAATTTGGCTAATTGGTGAAACGATATAATGGGTACCGTTGCGGTTTACCTTTGGCACAGTTACACGCGTTTATTGAAACAGTTGCAACTGAACGTTAATCGGATTACCGGCATGAAGCCCCCGCGTTTTGTACGCCATTGAACAGAGCACGGCAAATACTGTTGTTGACGGCCGTTTGATTTTCTGTACTTCCAGGTGCGAAGGTGTGGACTCGTTAGTGGCATACGTACACATAGACGGCAAGAAGGAGAAAATAGATTCGTTCTGCGGTGAAATGCCACCACGACCTATCATGAGCAACGGACCACAACTTTCCTTGGAATTCCACGGCATCACGTCGTCCCGCCATTTTCGGGGTTTCAAAGCGATGTATAGTTTCATCGAGAGTGAGTACAATTAATCATTCTATTTATCCATTTGTTTCATTATGCGCGGCTGCAGAAAACATGCTATTGTTATGGAATCAACAGAACACTGGACTGCGGAGAATTGTACGCCCCGTGGCAAAAAGCATACCGACTATTTGTCGTTAACAACCTTCAAATACAGTCATTTCTCCCTAATTCGCGCTCGGATTGCGCACAAAAATGAACAATTTAAGAAGAGCAGAATACGATCATTCGAGCCTTGCTGCTCATTTTTATAGTTACCAATTGCCAACAATTATAAAAACGAGACAAGACTCGAATAATCGTATCTACTCTTCTCAAATTGTCCATTTTTGTGCAGTCTCAGTGCGAATTAGAGAGAAATCACTGTACTATAATTCTACTAAAATTTGTACTTTATTGAAAGAAATCAGGGCCATTGCAACCAGATGGATTAAACAATACAAAATCATTAAAATGATATGTGATGAACGATATAAATTGTAGGAATATATTAGAAAAATTACTCGCAAGTGCAATGATAAAATTTATTTATTTCTTCGAAGAAGTTTGTTCACCCAGTAAAACAATGTCTATGCTTATGCAACGTGCTTTGACAGTCGTTTGACGACATGAACGTGCAATAAATACGTCAACGGGATAATTACATGATCGTATATAGCATGATCGAAGGAATTCAATACAGACGACAGAAGATCCGTTAAACTTTTTATACGTTCAGTGATGCCGTTGAACAATGAAAAATTTGATGCACGCAACAGCCCGCGTACAAATTATTTACAAAAATTTATAGACTCATGAATATGTAAAATGATGAATAATAGATGATTCGAAAATAATATTCAGCTGTACGGCTGGCCCATGATTTGTCAGCAAATACATATAATCAATTAATCGTTGAAAACGTGACTTCGCATGAAACACCGCAGTCCAGTAATATTCTACGTATAATGCACGTCGAAGGTTTCGCTTCGTTTAAACTATTGCCACTCTTTGAACGCAACAAATATTATCGTTAACTTAACAAGAACCAACGCCCAAGTGTGACACGTCGTATTTTTCGACGTTCGCGCATGAGCAACGCGCACACGAAAATATTTGATACGTGTATTTTTGTCCATACCGTATTCGCGCTGAGAGGGTGAAACTACCCTTGAAAGTTCGGTCCGAAAAACCTGGTTTATCATGTGACTCGGAAGCTAATAGAGATAGGAAAAAAAAAATATTACACGGAAAAAATTCTCTGTTATTATGTAAAGGAAGCCGCTGGCAGACGGTCTTCGACTTTTTGAACAATTTTGCACAGGAGGAATTGTTGTCGCGAAACTTTTAATTACTGCAGATCAGTAAACGGTGACCAATGAGAAGCGAGCTCGCCTAGCCCTAGGCTTCGTCCACTCGTCGGCTCGGCCGCCTTGCGCCAGCCAAGCTCGCCTCCCATTGGTCACTGTTTTTCGTTAATAATTCGTAAACAAAGCCACGGGTGGCATTTTCGCTAAGGAAAAAGTTACTTCAAATAACCTCAGGAACCTCTCATTTCCCGGAAGTACCATAATTTTGGGACACCTTGTATATTCCATCTCTTCTGTTGATTTTTATTTTGCACAAAGATCCGCCGATTAATTGTAATAAAGATGACGAAATGTCCAAATAAATTCAGTATTGTTATTCTTATGGAACAACAAACTGCTCGGTAGGTTTAGCATTAATAAATTATGGTTTTCGATATAGCGTGGAGAATAAATTATCCTTCTCTCTTACCGATAGTTTTCTATGCATTGTTACGATACCTTCCGCTCCATTATTATTTTTGGAAGCATTTAAAGCCTGTATTCGGCGAGATAACAATCGACAGTGTTGAAACACTTCGTCAGCGTGTCGAACAACGGTGGCTGGAAATCCATGCAACACCGAACCTTTTCGAGCGGGTCAGACAATCCATGGTGAGACGTATTTACGCCTGTATTCAAGCTGGAGGTGGCCGCTCCGAGCAATTTCTGCGCAGACAGGTGATCAACTGGTGCAACACAAAAACGGCTGTAACACCGGAACAGGACATACGTTTCTATGAACTTTTTTTTTTTAGTTACTTTTTGCGTCCCGAATCCACGTCCGCGACAATTCCCTCGTACCGTGACTGTTCTACAGAATAATTAGGCCGACTTGTAAAAATGCGTTAGAACGTACACAGAATGGAACGTTTAATCCTTTTTTGCTCTGAATTATACCACTGCTACCCTTCGCTACTGTTCTCGTTCCGCGCGTTCGTGTCAAGTCTGTCCCATTTTGTCGCACGACAAGCACAAAATAATCCTTCAAGGGTGAACGCGCAAATAGAGATGCTTTCGTTAATTAAAATTTCATGGAAAATTTGAGCTTTGCTTCGTGCCAACTTTTTAATGAAAGTAATACTCCAACGTACTTCTGAATCACAAATGGTTAAATGAGCAAAATGTCTGCGTATTCTCAGGACAAAGTCATAAAAAACGTACTATACAAATTTGTAATTATTAGAGAGGGAACGTATAATTAGTGTGGATGAGTTAAATTTTGAGTTATGCGAGGTTTGGCGTTTGGTTCATATTAGCAGTTTCGTGACAATGGTACTTTTCAATATTTTTTAATCATAAAGGATTCAATGAAACTAAATTATGCGATTTTATGTAGCATCAACGTGGAAAGAAATTCTAGCAGACTGACAATATGCGACGGCTAACGCATTGAATTTCACATAATTTGATTAATAACTCATCAAAGCTATTTTCACAGATCGCACGATAATTCTATTCATTTCTCTGCTAACAGTCATTTATCGTTTCAAAGTTGAAACATTTCTCGAAGCAAAACGCTCCCGGGAAAACGTCGCTGTACTTTTTTCGTCGAGGGCAAATAAAAAGCTGGCCGCCACAATACGATATCAAAAGTTTGACGCTAAATGAACCAAAAAATGCACGCGGGCATCGGACTGCATTACAGAGGTATGCAAATGAAAAATAAGCTTGAGCAGGTATTCCGTTCTGCGGTATTCCGGCGTGCGGTTGTATTATTAAATAACAGGTGTTCCGTTTTCGTGAGACAAGTTTGGGGAATACGGCATCAGTCTCGACGCACGAAGTTCCTTGAAAATATTGAATAAACAATTTCCACGGACCGATAAAATATTTATTCTACTGTACCTATTATGCCACACTCTGTTACTATTTTATACGAGAGTTTAGAAGATATCGGGAGAAATTTTAAATAGTTAACACACGATCTGAAAGTTATATGACAGACAGAGGAAAACTTCAACTCCGGCTACGAGATATAGAATAATCGCCAAGAATAACCGTTAGCGACTAAATTGTCGACCTTTATGCATTTATGAATGCTCCAAGATCTTCGAAATGTATAATTTCAATCATCTGAAGTTATTGATACAAAAATTTTTAGATCCACCTATAAATAATGTCGTGTTCATGAGTGCAATGTGTTCAATCGTGTGAATGAACATTGTCGCTTTGTTTATAGACGAGATTTATTATTGCATATAATTCTAATTGAATTTATCAACGTATAGTGTGCCAAAGTAAATTATACCAGATGTTTTTAATAAAACAAAATTTTACTTATGGATATCCCTAATGAAATTTTGTTTGCTAGAGTATACAAGGAGTACACAAAACTCTTCTGATCTTTTAAAATGGATGTTACACTATCAAAAAAATTAAAATATTCCATTTCAAATGCTCGATCCCTAATGAATTGTGATTATTGAAAAGATGGAGAATTATTTAACCAGTTTGCTATTACAATTTCTTTGAAAAGTCCGTAAGTTACTATAAATATATGTATATAATAATTATACTATAATTATAGCTTGTTTGAATGCAATATTTTTCTGAAACATATAATTTAATGAAATATATCGAAGTATATATTCTTCTTAACCGGTTAGTTGTCTCTAACGAGTATACTTGTCGAAATCAGTTAACTGGTTAATCAGTATTTCTATAGTTAATTCAAGCCACCAGTTCATGTATTTCCTAGCTGATACGATCATAATATAGATGAAAGGAAATGTAGTGATTAGCGATGGAATTCGATGGTAAACACATGTCAAAATCCGTGAAATAGAACAAATTAGGAATGGGGTGCATAAAATAGAGCACCCTTCAGGAACATCCGATGGGCTCCATAGTTCGGCGGAAACTAATAATATTCGGCTGCCGTGGCACCTCCCTCTTTTGAGGGAATAGAGAACTCTAATGGAGTGGGGATTCTGAACCGACAAAGGGGGGTCTACCGTTGAAGGAGTATACGTATAGATATACATACGTATAGATATATACGTATGTATGTATGTAGAGAGCGTCTTCTCAGTGCATCAACAATTACTCGGTAATAAATTCATGTCTGCAGCGATTTAATATTAACACATCGGCTGCCGGAGTTTCATCGATACTTTTTAAATATCCACACAATCGGGCTACGGATTTCTTACTGAATTTTTCAACGGCAACTGCATTTTCAATCGTGATACATTGCGTCACCTCGAATTTCATAATTGAATCAGTCCATCTTCGTTTCGGAGAATACTTTAAAACTTTATAACAATGTGCATTTTAATTATCGGTGCACGCACGTTTGTGTCACTGTTGCCAATTGTTTGGAAGCAACGTTAACTAATATTCAATTACAATAATGTTACCGCTTTTACTAAACTAAACCCGACATTACCGATTTATAAAGTACAAGGGTTCTCTATCAGCGATGTATAATACATACATTGATTACGATCAAACCATAACATAATCTCAAAAGAGAATCACCCTTTGATTGGCATATTAAATTACACAGATTCTATGTAAATGAAGATTCAATTCCGCGCATGAATTTCTATACTGTAGCCATCAAACAAACTAGTGCTGTAAACTGTACCGTTGACAGGATTACGGGTATTGTGTTCGGTTTAATAATCTTGACAATGAAATTAAGCATTATGACGGCGTTTGATC